CATCCCTAACATGCAAGGAAAGATGCAGGGATATAGGTTACTTATTTCTGATTTGAGAATGTAGTGACAAAAATTAACAATATGGTATTTTGGTTACTTGACTGAATGTACCTTAACTCCTTTAAAGGAGATCCATTGAAAGATAAGTTTGATTTTGGCCAGCACACATTTATACCTCACAAAAATGTGCTAATTTTTTAAAAGGTGCTGCTGTAATAAACTCCAGTGAAGAGTGCATATACAGGTAGTCCTTGACTTACAACCACAACTGAGCCCAACATTTCTGTTGTTAAGCAAGACCGTTATCAAGTGAATTCTGCCCAATTTTATGATCCTTACTGCCATCGTTAAGTGAACCACTGCAGTTAAGTTAATAACACGATCATTAAGTGAATCTGGCTTTCCCATTGACTTTGCTTGTCAAAAGATTGCAAAAGCATGAGCCCAGGACACTGCAACTGTGATAAGTACTGTGTTTCCCCAAAAGTAAGGCCTACCCCGAAAATAAGGCTTAGCTTGATTTTTTGGAGTGGGCCTAATATAAGCCCTACCCAAAAAATAAGCCCTACTTTTGGGGCGAGGAACACACTTAAAAATCAAGCTAGGGTGGGGATGGGGGTGTGGAGCTGCCCCATGCACCCCACACCCACTTACCTTGCAATCAGTCCTCTCCTTGCTGGCCCACTTCTTCTGTGGCATCTTCTCCAGCCAGGCCTGCATTTCTCAGTCACAGGCCTTTCCGGAAGGCCTGTGCAGCTGAGAACCGAGCTATGGATTGAATCCATAGCTCAGTTCTGCAAGACCTCTGCAGCTGAGGACCGAGCTATGGATTCAATCTTACTTTAGCTTTCCAGACTTGTAAAGACCATAAATGCGAGGCTTGGTTATAACGTTACTATTTTGTCACCTCATAACTGCAAACGATCACTAATGAGGCAGTTGGTAAACCAGGACTATCTGTTAATAGCAATATACTATGCTGTTTCTACCATGTTTTGCCAAAAGTAAACCCGTCCCCAAAAGTAAGCTCCAGCTGATTTTCGGGGGTGGGCCTAATATAAGCCCTCCCCCCGAAAGTAAGCCCTATTTAAGGGCCTGCATGGACGGCCTCCCGCCGATTCTGTCTGGTTTCATCATAGACACAAGGTAAAGGGGGGATCTGCCAATGCCTCTGTGATGAGGCGAAGCCGATGGGGGGGGGAATCTGACCTACAGTACCGGTATACCGGTTCCTTATTGCTGCCCGGGTTGTTCGGCGGCCTCATGGCAGGGGCATTAGGTGCAACACGTGAGGCGGCAAATGGCCAGTTTCGATGTGATACAGCCATTTGCACCTCACGTATCGCGCCCAATGCTGCTGCGATGAGGCCTGGAGGATCCTCCCCCCTTCTGACCCATATGCCATTATACTGGTTCCTTACCGCCGCCCGGCTTGTTCTGCGGCCTCATGGCAGCATTGGATGCAACATGTGAGGCGGCAAACGGCCAGTTTCAATGTGATGTGGCCATTTGCCACGTCACGCATCGCGCCCAATGCTGCTGCGATGAGGCCTGGAGGATCCTCCCCCCTCACCTGATGGCAGGGGGAGCGCTAGAGACTCAAGGAGGAAGGGTGGTGAAGCAGGCGGGCATCCTGCCATTAGCACCCATGCCGGCTGCCCCTTCTCCGTGGAGTCGGAGAGCTTGGTACAACAACGCCCAGATGTCCTTGCTCCCCCCAGGAATTGCATTTCTTTGCTTGCCTGACTCCCAGCCCCATGCCATTTCTCCTTTGCCATCCGCCGCCGCATGCAGGGAAACAAAAGGATTTTTTGGGAAAAATTCAATCAATCAATTCCAATTTTGTGAGATCTTTTTTTTTTTTTGCGAGAAGTTGGAATTGATTGATTGACCTTTTTTTCCCAAAAAAACCTTTTGTTTCCCTGCACGCGATGGCAGCGAATTGCGAAGGAGAAACGGCATGGTGCTGGGAGTCAAGTAAGCAAAGAAATGCAATTCCTGGGGGGAGCGAGGGCATCTGGGCGTTGTTGTACCAAGCTCTCCGGTTCCACGGAGAAGGGACAGCTGGCATGGGTGCGAATGGCAGGATGCCTGCCCGCTTCACCACCCTCCCTCCCCCAAGCCTCCGTAGCTTCATCTGCTGTTTTGGTGGCTCTGTAGGCAGAGCTGTGAAGTTCTCTTTTCTAACAGAGAAGAGAATGGGCAGGTGAGGGGGAAAACCTGCCCCACTTGTTCCGTGGCCACTTTCAGTTGAGCTGCATTGTGCTCGCCAATGGCCTGCCTACCCACTTCATCACCCTCCCTCCCCAAGCCTATGGCGCTCCACCTGCCAGTTTGGTTGGCCTGGCAGCCCCCATCTCAGCATCCTGCCTGCCACCCAACACGGCTGCCCCGGGGCTGCAGGGGCTGGCCTGGCATAGGAAGGGCATGCGCTCTGCCCTCCCACCCGCCCCGGTACCGTACCTGGTCCTCCACCATGCTCTCATCGCCGCATTGCTTCTCCACCCCATGCAAAGGCCCCACCCCACCCCCACGTGCTCGCGGCCTACTGCCGTAGTAGTGGCAAAAAGTAAGCCCTCCCCGAAAGTAAATCCTAGTGCTTACTTCAGAGCCCAAAAGAAAGTAAGACTGGGTCTTACTTTTGGGGAAACACGATAGATATTTGGTTTTTCTTTGGTGTTATGGGCTACCAAATGAAATAAGGACAATAAAGAATGCATTATAGCTTTGGATTCCAAATTTCCAGAAGTTCAAAAAGATTGCAATTAAACTGCTAAGGCTTCTAACAAAGTTCCATCCACTTTTTATAAATCTTTCACATATTTTCAACATTTTGTACATGCATATTTCAACTATTATAATAAAAAATATGCAATTCAACACTTGCTAGTAATTGCTATTTTAGAACATTATTTTTGATAGCTAATTTCGTTCCTATGAAATTAGAGATTTTTTTAAAATATACATTCTGGCCAAACGTTTTAAAACTTGTTGCCTAATTTACAATAAATACCAAAGTATGCTAGAAAATGTAAAATGAAGTTCAGTTCTAATACTTTATTTAGTATTCCACTATTACCCACTGGTAAAGTATCCAGACTGCCCATTATGTGGTTTCCATGCAGACACTACACACTTTCCATTACAGGAAAGAAAAGTTAGCATGTCCAGAAACTGACATCTTAGACCTATGTGAGTTACAATGGGGAGTTCAGTGTTAAGCACTCTAAATATCATAATGCCTAAATAAGGCTAGGATGTAAGTAGATTTTAATGAACTGTAAGAATTCTAAGATAATAGTTCATAAGCTCATATTTTGCAGTGATTTTTCCTCCTTTAATAACCAAATCAATCATCAAAGTTGTATTGAGAGTTATGTATATCAAATTGAACCTCAGGTAAATATAAAAATCCAGCCACGTTTTGCCACTTTATTATGATAGGATGTTTTTTGCATCTAAGATACTTTAGGCTTTTTGTTCTCTATGATACATAGCAAAATGTGCTCAGAACTGTGGGAAATTTGAAAACACATTCATGACATAACAATTCACTTTAATTTAATGGTCCATTATTGAAATATAGAGGAAATATATGAAGATCTATTGAACATGACCATCCCAAACTTTTTATTCTGCCATGAAGTTCCTTAGTTGTATGTTGTTGCATATTAGTACCCGATGTTCTCCAGTATGGCCATGCTGGCTGGAATTGAGAAAAATTACAATTCAGAACTGTTATAGAATATCAGATTAATGAATTATTTATAGCAATATATAATAAAAATACTGAAAATCTTAAATTTATTTCCATTAAGTAATCTTGCATAGAGTGAATATTCTATTTGTCATGTGCAGTTTACAATTAAATATATGTAAAACATGATTGTCAAATCTAAAATATAAGACATAAAAACAAAGGCACATATAGATTGTCAATTATCACATATTTCTTTGAAACAAAGTAACTTGTGAGCTTTGTAAACAATGTAGTCTTACACTTTTAAAGTGAAGACAGTGCTGACTTAATTATTCCTTCATTCACAGTTTAGTAAAATTGAGATTAGCGATGACAATATATTTTGCCATTCCTAAAACATAAATGCCTTCATATTTATGGTTCTTTTCAGCAACTGAATGAATAATAAACCTGAATACAAATATATCTCTAATTCACTGCAGTAATGTGTACTAATTCAACTTCAAAAATTCCTACTAAGAAAAGTTTTATAAAGAATAATTCAAGATAAAACCATAAAAATCTGGTACAAAATATAATAACCAATCCCCCCCATCCACTGTTAACATCACTATGCAAATCCTAGCCTTTTTGAACTTGTAGCCTAATGTCAGATGCAACTATGTTAGACAGGGGTCCCCAACCCCTGGGCTGTGGCCTACTACTGATCATGGCCTATTCGAAACTGGGCTGTGCGAAGCAGCACTCATACAAGTGGCAGACAAGCGCAGGCAAAACTGCACTTGTGCAAGCGGTAGGCCCTTGCACTCAAGCACAAAGCTCCATTTGCATGAATGGAGCCTTGCGCATGAGCATTCTCTGCTCATGCAAGTGGAGCTTCACATGTAAGCACAAGCGCCCTCTGCTCAATTGCCCTCCGCTTGTGCACGAAGCTCCATTTGCACGAGTGGAAGGCCTGAATGCCTGTCGCTCACACCAATGGAACTGTGCCCATGTGTGTGTGCCTGCCACTCATACTTCCCCTTCTGCACCAGGCTACCAAGGTGGAAAGGTTGGGGACTGCTCATGTATGATACATGTGTGGTTTCATAAGTCATGTTCTATCATTATTCCCAACCCTCAACTTGTAGTTGCCTAAGATGATCACTATCTTCATTTTGTTCTCAATGGAAGATAATGCAGACTTCAAATAACAGCATATTAGAGCATACCATTTCTTTAGAAATGACCTTCGAGCATCAAATATTCTCCTACAATGGTCTGTTCAATATGAAAGTCTGGAGAGCAGAGCTTGCAATAATCACCTTTCCTTAGTTCTTCTGATACTAAGGTCCCTTATACTTTTTGTGAGTTGTTTTATGAACACTTTGTATATTCTTCCACAGTATGTATGTTGTGTCTTTTGTAATTCCTGTTCAAGAGGTAGAAGCAATGCATGTAGAAGGTCGTCTTCAAATGAATACTGGAAAAGTATTAGAAACATTGTATTGATAAGCCAGATTTGCCAATGCCATTCCAACAATGCCAGGTTTTCTGATGTAGTTCTGAAACTACTGTTATACTGCGTTTTATAAATATGTTTTTCTAAGTAAAATAATCTAGGTCCAGTAAAAAACCTGCCCCTATTTTTAATATTCTTAATCCTCATCAGGCAAGGCAGCAATATCATCTAATAATTCATAATGTCCTGTTACTATCATTTTAAATGAAATTTAAAAACATGTACAAACCACAAATATTCACCCAAGATACATAAAAATCATACCAGCACTTAAATTAATGCATTAATTTTTGTAGAGCATATTGTTCTGATAAAGTGATTTTAGTCTGAAATATATATAACTTCCCCCAGGGTATTCAAGTGATATATTAATATATAATATATTGAGTAGAAATAGCATAGAAATAGCAATCTATAGAATCATTAAAGAAAGGGTACTTTCATTAAACTGAATTATAAACACACACAGACAGTATATAATGCAAACCTGAAGTAAAGGGTTTTATACTCTTCAGTTACAGGTTTGTTTAATATGTTATAAATGAAGTAATATATGCAAACACATAATTACAAATAAAATAACTGCTAATTTGCTGGAATTGTTCTGCATAACTTATGTTTATGCAATTGTTTTGCATAAACAAAATCTGATCATAAATAAAGCCAACAGTTTTCTTCTCTTAATTGGTATTACTCAAGGGAATTTAGAAATTATATTTTTATGAGACCACATTTTCTTTTGGTGTAATGGATTCTAAGGCCCCCAATAGTACTTTTTTCATTTTTATACCTATATGGTAACATGCCACAAAGCACCATTAAAATATACTATTGATTTTTGAAGATTATATATAAGATAGGATGAACATTAAAATAAGCAATATTGCTGCATTTATAGCTCTTCAGTGAATATACTGAAAGACTGATAGTTTATTAGAAATCTTATTTTGCAGAACTGGAAAACTGAATAGTTATGCTAAGCATCTATAACAGGGGTCTTCAAACTTTGCCCTTTTATGACTTGTGGACTTCAACTCCCAGAATTCCTCAGCCAGCATGCCTGGCTGAGGAATTCTGGGAATTGAAGTCCACAAGTCATAAAAGGGCAAAGTTTGAAGACCCCTGATCTATAATATTAAAAAGGTACAAAATAAAATAAGAAAATTAGAAGCAACATATTGCATGGAATTTCTTAAGCATAGTATTGGGCTCCTGAGTCAAAATAATCTATCTCACCAGGTCTTGATGAATTTAAAATTAAAAAGCTTAATACTATCAAGTTTTTCAGTGTCTCACTGAAATCAATATTGTGATTATGTCACTTTGGCCCTTCTGTATAGGCCAAAGCTTTACTTCTTTCAAAGTCTATTTTATTCTTGAATATTTCAGAACAGATTCTGGAATGCGCACTTTCAATGTCTTTATTTATTTTTAAAAATAAAATAAATAAAAATTATTGTATAACTGATGGTAATAGATTTATTGGAAGGCTTGAGGTAGACTTCTCAGAATTATTTTTAATTTTAAAAGTTCAGATTAAAATGTTTACTTACATTTTTAATTGCATCATAAACAGCACGAAATGTTGGCTGCTTATCATCATGGTAAACTCCTCTATTTCCATGAAGAATGAATATTCCTTCCTTTTCTGCCTCCTGGCAATTGCTCCCATAAATACAATGGTCGGGCCGATAGTTCCATTGGCAAGGAAAAACAAAAAGGCTTTCTATAGTGAACAACAAAAAATCCTCCATTATAATGTTTCGAGGCAGACTGTTCATTGAAGGACTTAGGCCAGTGATGGCAAACTTTTTAAAGACCGAGTGCCCAAAAACTGGCCCCGCCCCTGCTCCACCCCCTCCCCCGCCCCCACCCTGCCTGCCCGCAGGGCCACTCACCGCCTCCAGGGCCCGCCGCAGATCGCCATGGCAGCCCAGCAGCGCCATGGCAGCCACGCCCTCTGCCGTGCCCTGCAGCATCAACTGTGCATGATCGGGCGTGAGGGCAGAGTCTTGTCTACGCTGCCTGGCTGCCATGTCCTTGGCTGTGCTGCTCCACGTGGGCCACACTCGGGGGCGACTCTCCTCAGGGGGGCTGCTGGTGAGGAGGGGGTCGCGGGGGGAGGCAAGGTTCTGAGTGCCGCCTCTGGCACCTGTGCCATAGGTTCACTACCACTGACTTAGACTATAAAGTCCAAGCCCTTATTCAATGGAAAAATCAAAATTAAAGTATGTCTAACAGATTGCTGTCCAGACTATACCTGAATACATACAACAAAGTGAAACTTACACCCTCATTTGATAACTGGTTCAACTGTTGAAATGTGTTACCATTACAAAAAATTCCCTAACACTGAACTGAAATGTCTTCCTCCAACTTAATACCATTATTCTGTGTCTGGCACTATAGGATATTAAAGAAAACGTAATGGGCTTGAAGAGAGCTTTATTTCCTTGTGTCAGCCATTTTCTTTTAAAGCAAAAAACACCCTGCCTCCTTGAGGTTTTTATAGGACTTAACTGTCTAATCCCCTAACCATTCTTCTTGCTCTTTTTACTTGTCTGTTTGTCTAAACTCAACACAGTAACAAGGTGAGGTGTATCAGAACTATTCCCAATTATTTGGATTTGAAAAGTATAATCCCAATTATACTTTTATTAATGTAGTGGCCTGCCTTCCCCTAACAATGCAGTTACCCAATCACTGTTACAACTTTTATAAAAGTTTAAAATATGGGCCTTGTGGACAATCAAAATTCAACTGATACGGTAGTTTAGTCAAACCAATACAGTGGTACCTCAGTCCTCATCATTAATTTGTTCTGGAAGATGCGCCAAATACTAAAACTGATGGGTACTGAGAAAATCATGTGACTTACTATGTGACCTGCTATTTCGGCCAGAAGAAATAGCGAGTTATGAGGCAGCCAACACAAGCAAGTTCTTCCTTGCATGTCAACTATCAGGAGAAAGACGAGCACCAGGACAAGATTTCTGCTTCAAAATGCGTTGAATACCGAATTTGACAAGTTTTGAAGCAGTCAAGTGCCGAGGTATGACTGTATATGATTAGCATGGGAGCACTTTAAAACAGAGTACATTTGTATAACACAAATAGCAATATCATTTTAAGATTCAGAATTAAAATTGCATTTTTAAAAGTAACTTACCAGGATTATGAAAAAACATAATGTTCAAAAGATCCTGATCTCCCCATGTTATATTCAACTTGTATTTTTTCAGCAGCGGCATGAGAATATCTTCCCAACGTAATTGTACTGATGTCATATCATTCTTCAAAATCAAAATACCAGAATTAGAAGTAAGAGGATGTAGATCCTACTTATGATAAAATATATGCTTCTTTAATCTTTATCATACAATGCCTCATTTTTACATAGTATTATGTCATGGTAATAAGTCTTTCTGAATTAAATAGGCAATGTTTTTTAATTATTAAATATTTATTAAAAAAAATAAAACCCAAAAGCATATTCAGTTTAGATTCTACCAGATTAAACTACAAACTTCTACAAAAACAAGAAATATACACAAGGCTCAATATAAAGTACTTTCCAAAAATGAGTAAGAAAGTATATGCAAAAACAGAGATTTATGTATTTTAGTGTTGTCTAACAATGCACAAAACATTACTAAACAAAATAATGTTCAGCTAACCTAAAATACCTAAATTTGAAAATAGCACACATGAGTCTAAAGAATAGTTTCAATTTTCAAATACAAGGTTAAAACCTGGCTTTTCCTATTGCTTTTTCTTTCTTTAATAAAATCTACCCTTTCCAATTTTTAATTTTAGAATTTTACAAATTACATATGGAATCCAAAAGCATGCTAGAAGGCACCTGAAAGTCATATTTTCAGTTCAAACATTCTAAAATTAAAAATTGGAAAGGGTAGTAGATGTTGTATTTCTGCACCGATTTGGAGTTTATATAAAAAGTAAAAAAAACTAGACTACACTTTTTTACATTGGAATGAATTATTTCATGAGTTTATCACTTATGAACATTGTCCTTACAGAGGACATTTTGGACAGATTGTGAGAATGAAACAAATGTCTTAAAAAGACTGTACATAAACATAATCTTAAATGCAGTGTGTTTATAATCATTCTATAGCTTTAGGTCAATAGTCTATTGGCACCACCTTCTGGTTAGATTGCATCCATACTCATAGTACAAATTACTGAGTGAGTTTAACATGAAGTTTCAAGATTTATTTATTTATTTATTTATTTATTTATTTATTTAATTTGTATCCCGCCCTTCTCCTTACGGACTCAGGGCGGCTGACAGCCTTATAAAACAGATACAACAATAAAAATACCCAGTTTAAAACCTAATTAAAAAGAAATATTTACTGTGGCCTATGTCAATTAAAATTACTCTTAAAACCCCACTAAAAATTCCCCTAGGCCAATCCCGCTTGTNAGAGCCATGTCTTTAGGGCGCGGCGGAAGGAGGGGAGATCCGGGATCACCCGGATCTCTGGGGGTAGTTCGTTCCAGAGGGTGGGAGCTCCCACCGAGAAGGCCCTCCCCCTGGAGGTCGCCAGCCGGCACTGTCTGGCTGACGGCACCCTGAGGAGACCCACTCTGTGGGAGCGTACCGGCCGATGGGAGGTAATCTGAGTAGGTAGGAAGCAGAAGAAAAATGAAAAAATAAATGACAAAAAGTATTTCATTAAAAAAAACATTAATTGAGAATCAAGGGTATATGATGTTTATATAGGATTAATTAGAATCCATTGTGATAATACTAAAAAACATGCTGTTTTAATTTACAGAACAGTACCTAAAATGAAAAAGAACCAAAGCACCCTACCTTGAAATATTTTCTTCTAATGCGGGTCATGTTCATTAACATTACTCCAGAATTGATTCCAGTTTTTCCATAATATGGGTGCCTAGCAAAGCGATTATACCACCCAATACGAGGTTCTTCATGCTCTGGTGCCATAGCAGCAATCTGAGTAGAGTTGAATTTTTTCAGGAAAGACCAGATATCATCAACAGGTCTTAAGAGCAAGATGTCTGTGTCAACATACAGTAGAGAATCCACATTACTGAGGATTAACTGTAAAAGAAAAAAATATGAAACAAAATTAACATCAAACTGTGACATTTTATTCAATAGCTATTGTAAAGGATTTATTTATGATTATTGAACTACAAAAGTAGGCATTTAAACATCTCTTTTTTAAATTATCTATTTTTTATTCTGATGAACTGAAGAATAAAAGCACATTAACTATGAGATGATTCCCTACAGGCTGAATTTAATTTTTTAAAATAAGCTGTTACATTAGCATTCAATTTATTTTTGAAGTGTTTTCCTGCTTTTAATACTGGAAGCTGTTAGAGCACACTTATAAAAAAGTTGCTTAATCTTTTTCATTCAATATAAGGCTCAAAAAAGCCTAAACTGTGTTTATCTGAATGTTCCAATAAAAAAGAATAAAAATTATAGTCCTAGGCATGAATTCTAGGTTGATAAGACATGGCAAAATAGGACTGTCTCCAAGGTAGTATCTATATAGGAAGAAGCCCAAAAGAATAGACTAAGGTGGGCTAAGGCCGCTGAAGTTGATGAAGTATATTAAAAACAATAAATTCTTCACAAAAGATAGAAGGGAAAAAAAACAAATTAGCTGCTAAGTGAAGATGGCAAAATAACAACAATAATAATAATAAACTGTAAAGAGGAGGATGAACTGACAGAAATATAGATCAGGGAATATACATTTACTGTAAATGAGCTTAATTTCAAAAAGCCAGAAGAATTGCATGAGATGGTATTAAAGGAACTTGCTAATTATCTAGCTGAACTTTTACAAATTATGTTTGAGAAAGCCTGCGAACTAATTGCCAGTGGGCAAAGGTTGCTCCCATATTCAAATAGGATGAAAAAAATGCAAGAACCACAGAATTTTCAGTGTTATAGTGATATCTGAGAACATTCTAGAATAGTTCATAAACTGTATTTTTACGTCTGTCTATCCATTTTATTGGATTTAAACCCATTCCAATCATTAACTGACTTTGAGCAGCTTACAATACTATCTAAATAAACAGGATTAAAACAACAAAGAAATTTTGTCAGGACTCACTTCAACTAATCACCCAAGAAAGCAGAACTCTTGAAACAGGTATGTCTCAAAAGGAACTTTTATTAGGGAGTAGTGATAGCAGGGAATGTAAGGCAAGATCTGAAGAAAAGCCCATGTGAAATGATATAATTAAAGCAAGCAATATGCCCCCTCCCACCAAAGTCATAATGTCCGTTTGAACTCCAGCCAATCCACAGGTGGCTTGATGGCCGGCTGACTGGTACGGTAGGCTCGCATCTCAAGGTCTTCTCCAGCTTTCGTTTCCTTGCAACTGTCTCCTAGATCAGGGCTTTTCAACCTTTTCACCCATTGTACCACTTTTAGGATATGGCAACATCCGAGTACCACCAGTCGCCTAGCAAGGTGTCAAAAACTTGATGATCCCTACCCCAAAAAAGGAAAAAAGTGATAAAGTACAGGTAGTCCTCGATTTACAACAGTCCACTTAGTGACTGTTCGAAGTTACAATGGCACTGAAAAAAGTGCCCCCCCCCAAGCACAGCCGAGCAAGGCACATGCCTGCCCACCCGGCCGCACTCTTCCTCCTGTCCGAGGTTTTCATTGTTGTGAGCATTTCTGTTGAGGATTGGCAGTGGGGGTGGGGTGGGGGAGTGTTTGGTTTTTATTCCCCCCGTCTGCTGGGTAGTTGCAGCAGGTTTTGGTCACTTCACATGACCCTGGGACACTGTGACCGTCATAAATATGAATCAGTTGCCAAGCATCTGAATGTAAATCACAAGACCCTGAAGATGCCGCAACATTCCAGCTGATCGGCGCTTCTTCTGGGCTCAGCAGAAGCGCCAGGATCAGTGCTGCTTTCCAGCTGATCGGCGCTTCTTCTGGGCTCAGCAGAAGCACCAGGATCAGTGCCGAGCTCCAGCTGGAGCCTGGCGCTGATCCTGGCGCTTCCGCTGAGCCCTGACAGCCCTGCAGCTCCAGTCATCTCTCGCTCAGGCTTGTGCGGTGCTGCCACTGGTTCAGTTCATTCCCCTCCCCAGCTACCACTTTTCTAGGATGGTCGCATACCACCTGCCAGGTGCCAATGTACCACAGGTGGTACCCGTACCACTGGTTGAAAAGCCCTGTCCTAGATAAGGATAACATTCCATACTCAGAGGGAGGAGGCCAGACAAAGAAAGAGGAAAGTGAAAGTTACCAACATATTCCCCCCATGCACCCCCTCCTCCAATAGAATGGCAGGCCCCAAAAGAATAGAAGACAAAAGAGAATAGGTGAGGGGTTTGGGGGTCTGACAGAAATAACCAAACAAATCAATGTTATATTGTACATTAAAACATTTTATGCTCATGAAGCCCTGATTCATTTTATATTCTGATACAGGATGAATCTTCATTCATTTTATCCTCCCCCCCAGGCTTAATAAAATAACTAGTTTTGATTGCTTACTGTTTTAAATGAAATGCACTATAATAGTCCAAATGTAAATGCCCATGAAAAGGACTTTTCACTCAAGAAAAGGTAATTGCTGCATCAGATGAAACTATGAAAAGTCCTTGTGACCACAACTGTCACTTGCTCTTTTAACAGGAGCTGTGAATTTAGGAAAACCTTATTATGAATCTGTTCAGTACAGGGATCAGAACTCCATTCAGAACCAGAGATGAAATATCCCTTTAACCAGATAACTTCGAAACACCAGGCCACTCTGTATTTATTCTTCTCCATCCTGGTCCTTACAGCCTCTAAGCAGTGCAACTGCAGAACTGTATCACATGTACATCCCAAGGATACAGCACACCCAGATATTATCAAAGTAAAAAGGCTGATCTGTTAGATAATTTTAATTTCTCTATTGGTGAAAAAATAAATCAGAAGCTCTCACAGTTGACTGCATTTAGCTGATTCAAATAACGTCTTTATATTCATATCTGTAGAGGTGAGAGACAGATAAAGGTGGTGATCGGAAAACTGTCCCTTCTGACGTGTGCCCCTCCTCTCTGCATCTATCTCCCGCTCTCAACCGCATCTATCTCCCGCTCTCAACCGCCCTGAGTCCTACGGGAGAAGGGCGGTATACAAATTAAATTAACCAATTAACCATTAACCATAGCGATGTGAAAGTGCGTAGCTCTGTGTGACCTTGCTTGTCTGATAACAGCTCGCACCAACAATGCCCACTTTTCCCTCTTTCTGGCCTCTTGCTTTCTATCCTTAAGCATTGGTAAGGAGATTAACCAATGAAGTGCTCTTGCTGGGCTGTTGCTTGTAATACTGTATATAAAGAATAAACTGCTGCGTGTCAGCAGCCATTATTTGCACCCTGCAATGACTGAGCACTGATTACTACACATATCAAAATATTTACAATACCATACATTCTTCTTAGCAACATAGCACAATGAAGACTTCTTACAGAGAGATGCAGAGACAGAACTGAGACTGGAAAATCCAGCTCCTAACTCAATACCTTTTTGCACAGACTCAGTAGCACTTTCTTCACATTGGCTGACTGAGTTACCACATGACTCTTCCTGTTCATGAATATTCCAACATGATCAGTAAGCACATTGTACACAATGCAGTAATTACTAAAAGGCAACACAGATGTATCAAGCAGTCATAACGGATTCTACTCCACCCCACCTTTTTAAAACTTGTACAGGTAGTTCTCAACTTACAGTCATTCTTTTAGTGATTATTCAAAGTTACAACGGCACTAAAACAAGTTATGACTGTTTTCACACTTATAACCATTGCAGTATCCCCATGGTCATGTGAGCAAAATTCAAAAATTGGCAATTGGTTCATATTTATGACAGTTGCAGTGTCTTGGGGTCATGTGGTCACCTTTTTTTACCTTCTGACAAACAAAGTCAATGAGGGAGCCAGATTCTCTTAACAATCATGTTACTAATTTAACAACTGCAGTGATTCACTTAACAACTGTGGCACAAAAGGTCATAAAATGGGGCAAAATTCACCTAACAACTGTCTTGCTTAGCAAAAGAAATTTTGGGTTCAACTGTGGTCATAGGTTAAGGACTACCTATAACCTCCTTAAATTGTGGCAAAGCTGTTGTTTTTAGCAAAATATCTGATAGAAATCCCATATTATTCTGTATAGCAATTAGGAAGTCAGTCTAAAATTAAAGAAATTCACATTATTTAGCATTAAACACAGAAAACATGGGGAAGATATGGTAGCACTCTCCATTTGGAAGGACGCAGACAAAAATGGGCAAGATTGTTTGAGAGAGTGTGAATATTATACAGAAAAAATGAGTTGTGGGAAGGCATGTTGCAACTGAATGTTAGAAAAACCTTCCTAACATTCAGAGCAGTATGATAGTGAAGCTAATTACCAAGAGAAATGGTGAGTTCCGTTTCATTAGATGTGCTTATGTACAGAATGCAAAATATCTACTCAGAATACTTTAATTTGAATTTCTATATTGGGCAAAATTTTGGACTGAAAATCTAAATTGCTCTTCCCAACTCTATGATTTATTTTGTTTAACGTAAGCTTTGTGCTGGTGATTCCTTCAAATTTCTGTTGGTTGGTGAGTAAAGTTGGTTTTCCTTGGCTTATTAGAATCTTTAATTTTTTCATCAATTTATTCATGAGAGAGGAAACTGCAAGACGGTACATCCCTACCAATCAGAATTCCAGTAATACTTCCAAGCCAAAGCAATCATCATTAGTGTGGAGTCACTGGAACATAATACTGAAACAGGAATCTCAACCTACAAGGAATCTCAGCCTACAAGGAATCTCAACCTACCTCTTCATATTCAATCTGATTATACTTCAACTTGGTAGTGCTGCTTACTTTTGAAAGGGCAGAGCTAGTTCTCCACATTATTTCATTGTCATAATATGTCAAATAAATAACTGAAGAGGTTAGGTTTTATGTTCATTCAAAGAGCAATAGCTTACCAAATAACTCACTTTTTTCTGGAAGCATATTTATTTATTACATTTATATGCTGCCCATCTCACTCTGAAAAATGACTCAGGGCAGTTCTTTAAATGTATAGATTTAATAAAATAACTTATTTTTCACTTATGACTAGAATTATTAATTTTGCTTAACAACTACCATTGCTACTTACTGGTAGGAAAAGTCTTTGAGAAGCACAGGGCTTGAATAATTTCTTCCATTCTGCTGCATTCTCATTTGGAAATGAGATGGGGTAGAGAGTATAATTAAATTTTTCATTATGTGCCAAATTATCAAGCTGAAAAAAACAACATATTTTAGTATTTTTGTATCAAAAGCAAGATTAACCAATTTCTAACAACTCTATTTCTCATTTTGGTTATTAAACAGTATGTTTTCAAGCCTATAAAATTAAATTAAGATTTGTGAAAGAATAGATAATACTAACAATTTCTTCCCTATTTTATTGGATTTATATGCTACCTTTCTAAAACAAATGGTACTCATTATATTTTACAAAGAGGGTGAAAATATCTTGGATCAGTCACTACTTGCAATTCATGAAAAACAGAGAAACAAATCAACATAAAATGTATCTTAAATGCAAATAACTTGTGTTTTAGAAAACGGTGTTTTAAAAAACTCTTTATGCAAATAATTGGGAATACCAAATAACCAAACTCACAGCTTATCACAAATGCATTTTCTATCAAAAGCACCTTGCCTGTTTTTCAATTTCATACAAGACAGCTAGTATTTGTATATTTAAGGTAAAAAAAATGTATGGTTCAGCCGGATACTAATGTTGCCAAACTCAGGTTATATCAGAGGATAATTGAGACACATTCAATTCATAGGATAAAGATCTCTTCATATTTAAGGCAAGTCCAGAAATCACAATCTCCTGGTTTCTAGACCAGCATCTTAACCACTACACCAAACTGGCTCTGAGTTTTATATAAATTTAAGAGGCTATGTGTTTCTTATAAGACTACACTTCTATCATGGTGCAAATGTTAAAATGTTATGAATATTTTATAGATAAAGGTAGTCCTTGACATGACCACAATTGAACACCATAATTTCTGTTGCTAAGAATAGAATAGAATAGAATGGAATGGAATGGGATGGGATGGGATGGGATGGGATAGAATAGAATAGAATAGAATAGAATAGAATAGAATAGAATAGAATAGAATAGAATAGAATAGAACAGAATAGAGCTGGAAGAGACTTTGGAGGTCTTCTAGTGCAGCCCCCCGCTCAAGCAGGAGAATCTATACCAGGGGTAGGCAACCCAAAACAGTCAAAGAGCCACTTGGACCCGTTTCCCACTGAAAACAAAACACTGGGAGCCGTAAAACCCTTTTGATATATATCATTTATATATTTTTTAAAAATTTGGATTGCTAACAAAGAATTGAGGGAGAATGGAATAGCTATTTTGAGCTTTTTAGCTCTCATTTGGGCTGACAGGGTGCATCAAAAAACACTTATTTGATATTGATAAGGGCGTTCAGTTGCTGTTTTCTTAAGAGAACTAGTGGATTTAGCAGGTCGTCTCTTTATTTTTCCAGTTTGATGCAGTTGTCCCAAAGTATTTATCTTCTCTTTCATCTGCTTTTCTAAAAATAGAAGTTTAAGGAAGACCAAATATTCTTTTCAGGAAAGGAACAAGAGATAATAGTCAAAGGAGGGGCACAAAAGGTGACAAACATAAACAACTCATAGACTCAGAAGACAGTATCGTAAACCAACAAAGTGGAAGAGATATTTTAAGACATATCTACTAAGAAATCAACTTCAGTATCAAACTCGAAGCATACTTGGATAATTGCTTTTAACATATAAAGAATTTGTTCCTGTACTTCCTCTGTGGGAGAAATTCATTCCTGTTCTTCTTCCATTGTCGTGTATTAAACTAAACAAAAAGCTTACAATCAGAAAGTCCACCAAGTAAAAAGCTGAGCTGAGTTTCTTGCAGATGGTGCTTCAAGGTTGCTTTATATCTTATCTAAATTAAAGCTATCAACAAGTCTCTCTTAAAGAATAGCAGGTTACAGTCTCAAATTTAGCCAGCAAACTCAAGTTAGTTAGATCTTTTCAGTTTTCTTTTCTCCCTCTATTTTAAGGGGGAGAGAAAGAACCCAAATCTTCGATAATAGTTAAGAGTAAAAATCAGAGAAGAAGAAAAATAGAGAGTAGAAAGTTACAAGTCTTATAATCCACCAGTTTTAAAAAATAGAATTCCAATTAGGATCCCAGTATTTTTCCAACGTTTTAGACTCCCAAGTGGTTGATAGCTGCTGTTTCTGGAGGGAGGGCTAAAATCCCCCTTCCCTCACCACAGGGGGGAAAGTACTTTAGCAGCTTATGCAGGTAATTAAGTAATTAGGATGTAAGAGAGGTAGATCTCACCCAATCCATTCCACGCTGCTTTGAAGTTGCCAGATGTTAATGTGACTTCGGCTGTTAGCAGCCTAGGGACGAGCCATATTTCTATGGCCGGTCCTTTTGTCCACCGGTTTGGAGAGATTGCCAGGTCTAACAGAAGCGTTGCTGCTCTCCTGCGATCCAGCAAAACCCCCTCCTTGCTGATCGCCTCTTCAGAGCGATTTTCGGCCCTTTTCAGGGCCCCCTAGCGATGCAAAACTGAACGGGGGAGAGAGATCTCCCAGCCGTCCATGGCGGCTGCGTGACGAAACCGGAAGCCCAGGTCCCTCCACCCCCGGGCGTGCGCACGCTCCATCCTGCCTTCCCCCCTCCCTGATCCACTGCATTAGCGGATCTTTGGATAGCACTCCCCACTTATTAGGAAGACAACTACCGTTGGACCAACAGCAGATTGACCCCAACATACAGCTCCCGCAGGACTCACCGCGACCCGTTGACTAGGACTAGGGCGATTGAAGAGTAGATGGGATATGATGGAATTGGAGGAACATGGTGAAGATGGGCCACCCCCTCCCCTCAAGGGGATCGTCAGGCATGCGATGGTGACTCGGTCACGGTTAAATGAAAGAAGACACCCCTCTCCGGTGCACTCAGCACGAGGTCAGGCCACTAAACAACAGTTACGATCAAGGCAGAGGAGCCCTGAGAAGGGCGACGACCAGGAGTTGAGTGTAAAGGAAGGTGATGCCCGACGACAACGGACCGAACAATGGAGCGCTCCCAATGGGATGGCAGCGAAGAACGCTTTGAGCATATGTGGGAGGAGGGTGATCGGAACGGACAGCAGATGCCTTGGTATGGTGCACGGGAGGGAAGATGGAAAGGTGAACAACATGGGGGGGGAGAAGAATCTGTAGTGCACCTGCAAGGGACAAATGGACAGGACCGAAGTGAACTCGTGATTCAGGGGGATACTGGAGTTAATCCAGATACCCCCCACCCCCTAGGTGTAACCGTATGCAGGGTGATGAAGGAGTTACACACAGGGGAGGGGGGAAGACCTTGATCCTGAATCCACTTAATTCCGAAGCTGCCGATCGAGTGATGTGTGAGGGAATGTGAGTTAGTAATAAAAGAATGTGTATTAAAGGAGGTAAGCTTGAGTTATACTCTGAACAGCTGGGGCCAATGACGCGCTCTAATAGCCGGAAGCAGACGCTTGATAACGGTATATAAGTCCCCCCCCCCCTTTTTACTTGCCTTTTAACCCTGACGATGTCATATGTATTTTGACAAAAGCTAGGTTGATTAAATTTTATTTAAGTATTCTCTTGGTGATCATTGTTTTAACAAATGGATATTCCCAAGAGTCGTATTTTTACTTGTATTCTTAATAATTAGAGCAGTGTTGCTCATGGCAAGGCGCTGGGAAAGGACTGCATGCCGTATCTCAGCCTGCTATTGCAAGCTAACTTTCCTTCATACCTGTATACGTGAAGAACTCCCACCTAAATCTTTGAGAAGACCAGCCGTGAATTCCACTGAGTGCCAACAAGCGGTACGACAATTCCAGCGTCGTATGGTACGGGCACTCGTCAATGATCAACACAGACGAGTGGGGGTTTTGAAGACGGGGGCTTACCACCTGCGCGAGCAGTGTAATAGGGACCTATCGGAACAACATTTTCAAATGCTTACTCATCACATCCGGTTGATGGCGGAGAGAACTAGCCGACAAATTACTGCACGGCTTCAGTGCAAGATAGACACCTTACGAGGCCAAAAAGGTAATGAGGGAATGGGTAATCTGGTCCATAACTTATCTTCAAAGAACCTTACTCGCTCCCAACTCGCCCTGCTGCAGCGCGATGTAGGACACAACCTTGCCGATGCCAACTCTTTGGATTTTATCGCTGCGTTGGAGCCCGCCATGCACCACGGGGGTATGGGGGAGGACTCTGTTAATCTGGTTAGGCAACAAGTCACTGGGCTACTTATGCACCATAGGCACTATCAGGCATTAATCAGAAATGAGATAGAGGCCCTGGGGCAACTTAAAAGGGATAGTACCATTGTGATACTCCCTGCTGATAAAGGGAGAGCCACAGTGGTGTTGGACAAAGTGCATTATGTAGCCAAAGCACTGCAATTATTAAACGACAGAACAGCCTACAGAATTATTAAAAAAGATCCCATGGTGGCCCTAAAGAACAAAATCAACAAACTACTTGGTAGCTTTAAAAGAGCAAAAAAACTCGATGATGACACCCTGAGAAGAATACGGCCCAATGATTCGGCACTTCCGAGGTTTTATGGGCTGCCAAAGATCCATAAGGAGGGTGTTCCACTTCACCCCATTGTCTCATTTAGAGACACCCCCATTTCGGGGCTGGCGAAGTGGCTTAGTGATCGCATCGCCTATTTGATGAATGGCAGCCCCACCACGGTCAGATCTGCAGAAGAATTCTTGGAGAAGATCAGGACCCTTAGGGTGGAGGAGGATGAGGTGATGGTCTCTTTTGACGTCACCTCACTCTTCACCTCCATCCCCCAAGATCTAGCGTTAAAGTCCTGAAAGATCAGCTAGAAAGACAAGGAAGAGCTAGCCACCAGGATTCCCTGCAAACCAAAGATCTAGTACAACTCCTAGAGTTGTGCCTGACAACCTATTTTACTTTTCAGGGTGTCATATACGAGCAAGTAAAGGGCACACCTATGGGCTCCCCAATATCTAGCGTGGTAGCAGAGGCGGTTCTCCAACAACTAGAACAGGAGGCCATGACCCTCTACCAGCCCAAATTTTGGGCACGGTATGTTGATGACACCTTTGTGGTCATCAAACGGTGCCATCAGGCCAGTTTTATGGGGGTGTTGAATTCAATATACCCGGACATTAAGTTCACA